TAATAGGAACATGCGTGAATGGTGGGACTTTGCTGTCTGCGTCTCCCAGCAGATGTCTGGGTAGTTTAGGTCCCCCATGACTACCGCCTCCCTAGTTTTTATGGTCTCCGAGAGCTGCCTCAGGAGCCCCAAATCTAGTTCTTCCCCTTGGTGTGGGGGTCTGTAGCAGACCCCTACCACCAAATCCCTTTCTCCTTGACCTCCATGTATCCTAACCCACAATCCTTCTACTTTCTCCTCCTCCGATTCCATTTTGATAAGGGTCGATGTATATCGCTCATTGACATAGAGCGCAACCCCTCCCCCTCTCTTCCCCACTCTATCCTTTCTGTACAGCTTATAACCCTCAATGTATACCGCCCAGTCGTGGGAAGAATCCCACCAGGTTTCTGTTAGCCCTACTAAGTCGTAGGTGTTTTCTGCAAGCAGGAGTGCTAGTTCATCCTGCTTGCTCCCCATGCTCCTAGGATTAGTGTATAGGCACTTGAGCCCTTTGACTGGCGCCCTTGTTGCCCCCTGGCTCTGATGCCCATAGGGCCCCTTATTGCTAACCTGCTTATTGCTTACCTGTGGTGTATTGCTGGCCTCCCCATGGATTGCAGGTTCCCGATGTTCTCCTTCTTCAGGCTGGGCTGTCCTTGTGGGTGCCACATGGTTTGGTGGTCCACGGCTTCCCCTGCCCTCATCTTCCCCTCCCCCGATGAGCCTAGTTTAAAGCCCGCCGAAAGAGATCCGCCAACCTAGAAGAGAGTTTGGGCAACCTCTTGTTAAACAAAGACTTGTTAAACAAGTCTCCAATTTCAGTCTATCTTACTGATTTCTTTATCCTTTCTCCAGTCTTTTCTCTCTTCCCTTTCCATCCACCCTCTGAGGTCAAGGTCTTGTCCCTTCTACGTTCCCCCTCCATGATCCCTAGGCCCAGAAGAGGTGTCACGGAGAACAGGAGAGAGACAGACTTGCTATGTTAAGTCAGACACCTGAGCTAGCTCATGTCCTAGCTTAGCTTATATTTGTGTTGAATTTAGCTCTGCTGTAGACTCTAGACATGTACATACATGTTCTAATATGACAGTAAATTATTATCCAGAAATCTGCTGCTGTTGGTTTCTGAAGTTATTTTTCTATCTAGAAAGCTAGGTGCAAAGCTTAAAAAATGAATATCTTAGTCTTCTAGATAAGATCATGTCTATATATAAAGGGCTTAGTCCATCTGCCTGCCTAGCTAGATCTTAAAAACCTCCAAGGATGGGAGATTCCACCACCTCTCTGGGTAGCCTGTTCCAATGCTTTACTACCCTCCTAGTGAGAAAATGTTTCCTAATATTTAGCCTAAACTTCCCTTGCTGCAACTTGAGCCCATTGCTCCTTGTTCTGTCATCTGCCACCACTAAGAACAGTCTAGTTCCATCCTCTTTTGAATGCCCCTTCAGGTAGTTGAAGGCTGCTGTTAAAATCTCCCTTCAGCCTTCTCTTTTCCAGCCTAAATAAGCCCAGTTCCCTCCGCCTCTCTTCATAAGTCATGTGCCCCATCCCCCAAACCATTTTCATTGCTCTCTGCTGGACTCTCTCCAATTTGTCCACATCCTTTCTGTAGTGGGGGCCAAAAACTGGACACAGTACTCCAGATGTGGCCTCACCAGTACAGAATAGAACAGAATAATAACAGTAAAATCCCTGTTACCTGGCACAAGTGGGGAATGGGGGGGTACCAGGTATCAAAAATGCCGGTTACTTGAGGCCGGTGGTTTTTGGCTGGATGCAGAGGGGTGAGAGGGGAGGGGTAGAGGGGGAGCAGGTGGTGACAGCCATGCATGGAGCGGGGAGTGGGGGGGCAGTGGCCGCACAGAGAGATGCTGCAGTGCAGGGTGATGGGTGGCAGCGGCAACCACCGCATACAAGCTTTCCAACCGCTGTCCCCCCTCCAATCTGTGTCAAGCCAACTGGCCACAAATTCCAGTTAATAGAGTGTTCCGGTTACTTAAATGCCAGATAACAGGGATTTTACTGTACTTCACTCGATCTGCTGGCAACACTTGTAATAACACAGCCCGGTATGCTGTTAGCCCTCTTGGCAACAAGGGCACACTGCTGACTTGTATCCATCTTATTATCCACTATAACCCCCAAGTGCTTTTCTGCAGAACTGTTGCTTAACTGGTCGGACTCCAGCCTGTAGCAGTGCATGGAGTTGTTCCTCTTGCCTTTACTGAACTCATGAGATTTCTTTTGGTTCAGTCCTCCAATTTGTTGAGATCTCTCTGAATCCTAGCCCTACCTTCCAGCGTATCTACTACGCCCCCCATCTTGGTGTCATCTGTAAACTTGCTGAAGGTGTACTCCATCCCATCTTCCAGGTCCTTGATGGAAAAAAATCATGTAATCCAGCTTTTATTAGTACAATCTCTTAAACACAAGAAAACAAGTTCAGTTCTCAATGAAATGGTTTCCATGTTTCATTGTCTTTGCATGTGCATGGTGTTTTAGTATTTCCCACTGAACATTTAAAGCATGAGATTTAGCCGCAAAATATACTTTACAAATGTTTAAATACATGTAACCCAATTAAACTGGAACATGGTGTTAAGAATTACAGCACTTCAGAATCTTGCTATTTTATTCTTATTTTCCTTTTAAGGTCCACTTTCAGTTATATTTTAAACAGCATGGCACTAACTACATGCTGAAAAAATGAATTTAAAAAAATTCTAGACCAAGAAGATCTGTGTTTAGCAAACATTATTCATAGACATATGGAAAAGATAAAAAGCAAAATATTGAATTGTTTTAGGCAGTCATACCTCCATGGATGTTAATATTATTCCCAGTCCCCACCTTGTCAAAACACAACAAATGAAATTGTTATCTTTGAAGTAAAAGGCAAATATCCCATTGACTTAAATTGCACCAAGATTTCGCTCTAATACTTCATCATTAAAAGGTGTCATCAGATTATGGATTATTATCAGAGTCATGAATCCCTGTCTTGCTTGTCATGTGTTTCATGTCTTCTGGACAAAGATCACTTGTTACTGTAAATGTTGTATATTATGGACTGCATTTTGAAGCGCCTTATGACTTAATTGTTAATAATAAAATGCAGGCCAGTAGTTTGGAAATTCAGAATAAATACATGAGCAATTGGATGTAAACGCCTCTTAGATTTTTATGAGTTTGTCCTATATATCACTTTCGATTTGCAATAAGAATTCAGTTTCGATATCTTCAATCACTTAAATGTGCTAAGAGATTAATAGTCCTCATGGTTACGGCTTAAAGTAGCCTGCAGATTTATAACTGTTTTAAAGATATCAAGGACAAGCTAATTGAATGTGATACATCAGTGCATGCCATATAAGTACATAAAGTAAGCAAGATACTGAATTACCTCTTTATGCAAGTGGAGCTCTATCCAATACTCATTCAAGTCAGTAGGGTCTTTATATTTTCTTCTGTCATCATTGGAGACAGGGCTCAAGTGGAAATAGATTTGATGATGCATGTAATGTTGTGGTAATTAAACTCAAGGAAACCTGACTTTTAAAGGCATGCGTTAGAATTCAGCATATTCCTCCTTAAATTAAAAATGAATGAGTTAATCTAGAAACTATATATAAACAGAAGTTACTATATTTCACTGAGATTGACCATTAAACTATGAGAGAGGGCATGGGTCACAGATAAGGAGAAGCACCAAAAGAGAAAAAGAAAAGTTACAGTTTATTTTTCATATTTCTTTTTCAGGAAATATATTTGTCGTCAACCTGGCTATTGCAGACTTGGTAGTGGCCATCTACCCATATCCACTTGTCTTGACATCTGTATTCCGTAATGGATGGAACCTGGGATACTTTCACTGCCAAATCAGTGGTTTCTTCATGGGTCTAAGTGTCATTGGATCAATATTCAACATTACAGGCATTGCTATTAATCGATATTGCTACATCTGCCACAGCCTCAAGTATGACAAGCTGTATAGTGACAAGAATTCTCTGTGCTACGTCATTCTCATCTGGATCTTAACATTTGTTGCCATCCTGCCCAACCTGTTTGTTGGATCTCTACAGTATGATCCCAGGATCTACTCATGCACATTTGCACAATCTGTGAGTTCAACATACACAATAGCAGTGGTTTTTTTCCATTTCATGCTTCCTATATCCATAGTTACATTTTGTTACTTGAGGATATGGATACTCGTTATTCAGGTGAGGCGAAGGGTTAAACCTGACAACAAGCCCAAACTGAAGCCACATGACTTTAGAAACTTTGTCACCATGTTTGTTGTGTTTGTACTGTTTGCAGTATGCTGGGCTCCTCTGAACTTTATAGGCCTTGCTGTGGCCGTGAACCCAGACACAATAATCCCCCGGATTCCGGAGTGGTTGTTTGTATCCAGCTACTACATGGCATATTTCAACAGCTGCCTTAATGCTATTATATATGGACTCCTGAACCAGAATTTCAGAAGAGAATATAAGAGAATTATTGTCACAATTTGTACAGCCAAAGTGTTTGTTCAGGAGAGTTCTAATGATGCAGCAGACAAAATGAAAAGCAAACCATCACCACTGGTTACGAACAACAATCAAGTGAAGGTAGATTCTGTGTGAAATCAGGAGCATTACTCTTGTTACTTTACAGCACTCAAACACTTGATCCGATTTTATTATACTGAAGGCACTTAGACATGGTTTTTCATGCAGTATTTGTGAGCCAAAGTAACACAGGCTTGATATAAAGAGCCTCCTGTTTGCAATGACCTATCTTTTAAATACCAACTCAAATATGTACTTAAGGTTTTACAAGTTTGTAGAAAGAAACATTTTAATTTTATGTTTAATGGGAAAACAACTAGAGATGGAATGGAACAAAAATATCCTTGTGACATGGTTCTTTGCAAAAGAATCGTAGAACCATCCCCGTCCAACCTCTTCCTTGCACCTTCTTGGTTGCAAGTCAGGTTATGATCCTGATAAATATCCAGAATATTCATTCTGGTGTTAGGAAATGTGAAAAAGAGGAGCCAGACTAGAAAACCTCAGTAAGCATTCCTTAAGTTTATATAAGTTCCTATGGTGGTCATAGTTTTTACTTTGAGGTAAATAAACCTCCCTACTCCCTTTAGGAATTGCACAACCCTTCTTGCATTCTCCTTTTAAAAACCTTTTCAAAGAAATCCACATACCTGATTATCTCAAGAGCTACAAGGACAGAGGTACTTATGGGAGAGTGGGGATGGTCAGGGAGCATATGTGGGTCCCCAGATCAGGCCACACAAGGAAGATTCTGAAAAATGGGGAATGGCAAACCTCTCTGATTTTCAGGGACAAACTAAACCAGAGAAGCTTGAAATCCCCTACAGGAGACAAGGGGAATGAATGATACCCCCTGGACACATTAGGAAGAAGGACCAATTGGTTTTCAATTACATGAAGTGTGCATTGGATACTGACCAACTGGTCTCTCTTTAAGAAGGCAACGCCAATTAAGATGGGCATCTATTTAAGGAATGGGAGTTCATTTGGAGAGGGTAGGGAGGACATTCTACTTAGCTGAAATCCCAACAAGATGAATCTTGAGAACTGAGAAAATCATTAAAATGTACAGTTCCATCAGATGGCATTTTGCCTGCTTTCCGACCCTGACCTCCCTCACTTAGTGTCAGTGAAGAAAAGCAATTTGTAATCGTAGGTTTCAGCTTTTAAATGAGTAGGCGGAGGTCCTTTCAAAACATTCACAAATTCAGTCTTCTAAGTGATGTTAAAAGGAATGTTACACTACAGTATATCTGAAAGGTTTTCTAATCCTCAACCAACCTATCACTGATACTGTGTTCACTGATGCTTGAGCTTTCCCAAGTCCGTTCTAACCATTTCTTCAGGAGTAAGAGTTTTTAATAGCTTATCAGACTTTAGTTGTTATATGTTAAAATGTACACAATATTCAAACTGATTCATTAAAATAATTGCACAATGCAATCAGAAAAATATTTGCTTTTCAACAGCCTAGGATATGATGTCCTTGAAACATTAAATATTCTGTGTATTCAATATAATTCCTTAAGCTATGTATAGCTTCAAAAGCATCTCATATATCTTTGGACATATACACTTGACTTAATATAAATTATGAGTTAAACAAAACGCATTCATACATACTTGAAAACGCCACTGACACTTTGGCAAGTGAGCAGTTTTTTAACTTTAAAATAGGTGCCTCATGTTGTCCTTCATTCACTTCAAGTTTATAGTGGAACTAATTATCACAATGAAAAATTTTAGAGATGAACAAGATAGTGCATTACCAAGATGCATCTCTGTTTACGTTCAAATTTTTGTCTAAGCCATTGTGTAAATATGGTTTCTTCTATTGTGATATCATTATATGATATGAGACAATTAACAGCATAAATTATATCACAGCTTCCTTCACTGTGATTTCCTCCTGAGAGGATGCTAAGCTGTGATGTCATTGCTTTGTATGTGTAGCTTTATCCAAATAATGAGGGAGGCAAGACCACCCTGTACTAGTCATGTAACTAAATAAAATATTTAATTTTTTACCAAAATCTTGCCTTCTTAAAATATATTTCCTCTTTAAAATAGTATAATATTTAATATTGAATCTAAGTTTCATTAAATAGGTTGTGTAACCTAACCCATGGTAAATTCAGTATTGTCAAAGGTTTTTCATTTGCCCTTTTCAAATGGAAGCTTACTTGTTTATCATATCATGTATAAGCTTTGGAAAAGTTGTTGAAGTTAATGTATCCATCCATGTGGGTTATCCAAGGAATTAAAATCCCTTCTAAATCACAAGTGCTAAAAAATGTTTTTGATTTTAATAAAAATTACTTGCTATATGCAATAAATAATATACTATACCAAAGGTATGTATTTTGGTGAATAGGCCTGTAATTAAAATTAAGAGCATTTTGCAGATCTAGTGTTTTGAAATATTTCTATTAAGTTGAAAAAAAATGACAAAAAATGTGCATGGTGATCATACTATGAGATGCTAAAGATAGCAATAATTCCATGTTATTTTGTGGGGTTTCTTAATCCATAGCTATTTATTTACTCTAAATTAATACAGATAGGACATTTAGGAAATTATTTGCTGACCTACTCAAATTCTTCCTCTTTTTTTCTCCACTCAAAAACATATTTTTAGGAAAGATTTGCAAAGCAACCTCAAGCAGAAAAGGATTATTTATTAAAATTGAAATAGCAATGTTTAGATGCCTGGTAATGATTTAAGGCAGTGATTCTCAACCAGGGTGCGATTCTCAAGGTAAACCCAGAGATTTCAAATAGGAATCCATAGTATAAAAATGATTTGATCTGCTGTGATCTTTCTGTGTTCTCTGCAACAGAAAAATTGCTTTCTTATTTTATTTTTTTTCTGTAGTCAAAAAATGAGTGAAAACTAAGAGCTGGTATTTTCTGAGAGGTGCCTTGAGTCTGAAAAGGTTGAGAACCACTGATTTAGAGTCTAGTTTTTCCAGAGGCTCAGTGACTTAAGCAATAAATAGCTATTCCTGGACTTGCTCCGGACTTCATAGAATCGAGTCCTGTGTGATCAAGTAATGGTTAGAAAAAATAAATACCCTGCTTCCTTCTCAATAAGAAGATATGCTCCAGAAGTTGTGCATTTACCCAAGCAGACTTGCTCTTTAGGACAGCTCAATGACCTTCAGATACAAGGAAACATGTTTTACACCCTAAGTGGTGAAATTCACTCTTCTGTTGAGGCACACAGCCAGTATACCAGTTATACTAACTAAGATGTATTTTGAAGCTTCAGTGATGCATTGGTCCTCTCCAGGGTGAAATATATGCTAACACACCAGTCCTACAGTGTGGTGTACGCTGCTGGATCCCCATTTCTGTACAGACTCTTAGTAATGTCATTGGAGAGCCATACAGGAGCAGTAACTACCAATATGTGCAAGATGGCTATACCAAGGCCTGAATGAGCATGATTTTATCCAGCAAGAATTCCTTTCTACTACATAATACTGACTGTGATAATCAGAATCTCTTTCAATGTGTCACTATATCATGTATTTTGTACCAGAAGCTTGATTAGTGATCATTTTGTTGCAAACATTACATGACAGAAAAGTAAGGCGGAATTTCATTTTAACCCGTACATAAAAAATAATATTAATCTTAGTTAACAAGTGTTTACAGTATTTAAACTGTGTTTGTATGCAACCATGTACTTGGAAATAGCTTGCTTAATACGCTGGACTTTTATACAATATTTCTTTCCTTCCATTGTGCTAACACTGGAACAATTTGGAAGTAAAAGTATATTATTTGATGTGGGCATCAGAGAAATCAAAACTTCTATTGGTTTTTCAGTACTTAATATTTTAGAAGATTATTATATCTTTGAATAATCCGTAATACTGTATTTGACCACATAATAAGTACATGGTGACTGAATAACTCATTCTACTATGATTTGTCCATATTTCACCTTTGTATGGCTTTTTGGACTATTTTTGGAATGCTGTTACTGATTAGCATCAACAAAAATCATGATGCAGTGAAGGGATTTATTGGTTCATTGCAATTGCACAGATCATGTTCCAGTAATGAACGTCAAAATATTCAGTATATTAAACACACACTAATTGTGATCACAATGTAAAACAAGGTGGGGCAGGGGGCTGAACAGTTGCAACTTTAGTGCTTGAAATAAGATATTTATAAAATAATACTAGTAATATAAAATGACTGTTATTTTCTATGTTTCTGACACATGCACTATCTGTCTATAATTTATAATTCTAGCAGGTTAAAGAGTTAAGACTTAAAAGAGTCTGTCATTTTCTGACTGAGACTTTGGGAATAACGTGTGCCAACAGAGCTAAACTTGTACTTCCAAAACAGAGTCTGTAGAAAGAAACATTCATAGTGGCCTAGCTTATACTCCATGTACTGTATCTACAATTTTTGCCTAATTTAAAGGAGAACCCCATTTTGTGGTTCAGGTATTTTAATTATAAGAAATTTTTTCTTCCTACCTCAATAAGTTGGACATGCTAGGAAGCTCCGATTATCTAATGGTGTGGAACTTCCCGTGGTACAAGATTCTCTTCTAGAAGAAAGAGGAAATTCATGAAAAGGAGGTTTGTACATTAAAATTGTTGTAGGTTTCCTTAAATGTATATGATATGTTTGCTGCCCAAACTGTTCACATTACCAAGCACTGACCATATAATATGTTTATTTAGATAGATATATTGTATGTAAATGTGTTAGTAGTAATATTAAAGATAAAGGGAGGAGCCAAGATCCTAAACTTATGTATATCAGCATAGCTCCATTGATTTATGCCATCTGAGGATCTGGCAGAATTGGCTTTCATAAATGTACAGGACACCTATCTTATACCACTACACAACCTGTGTCTTAATTTTAAATTCAATCATTTGTAAAATTGTCTGGGTCGTACCCAGGTTGTGGAGGAATGTGAAATTGCCTGCTAAGTACCTGCAAAATAAATTTAATTCAATTAAGTTGTCTCTGTGAGTTATCATTTTTAATAAAATGAATATTTAAACTGAATGGTTTATTTGAACCTCTAATGATGCTTAATTATTGACTAAGCTGGTAGACCCAAATAAGCATTTGGCTAATATCCAGATATCATTGTCCTTATGCAATTCTAGGGATATACAGTAATCACCATTCTACTCAAATTTCCCCCTAGTGATGTTGCCACGAGTGTACAAGGATTTCTGCATATAGCAAAGGATA